ATGGTCAGCTGATCAATTGAAGTTCTTTCTGTGAGAGAAGTTTGAAGGATACGGACACTCTTGCTGAACTTGCCTTGTGCTTTGGGAGGAGACACTGCTGGAAGAGAGCATGCAGTGGGTGGGTAGAGCCTGTAAGGAACCTGTGAAGCAGTGCATACCAGCCATACCATCTCATTAGCTCAGCAGGGCACGCAGCTTCCCCCATACATGGTCTCAGAACAGTTTGAGGGTGGAACTTCTGTGTTATGTACTGTACTACCAACTTCCCTTGGCAGCTACAGCGATTCTCAAATCATTTTGGCTATGACTCCACAGGAAAGCTAGTGAGGCTGAATAGTTTCACAGTAATTCAAGGGCCATTTTCTCTCAGTGACTTGGCACTATGAATTATAATAACCAATAAATAGTCACTCCTTTAAAATGAGTGTCTTAGTTACTGTTCTATTGCTGTGAAGCTGACGTAAAGCCCAGCCCCAGTCTCGCTCAGTGTCTGTCTGCCCCTGTCTGTTCGAGTGTCCCATCCATCCATGTTGTCCCCTCCCCCATCTTCGAGTCAAACTACTTTCCTACCATCAGGCCTTTCTGCATGCTGCCATGCTCCCTGCTGTGATGATAGTGGCCTAAACCTATGAAACTGTAAGTGAGCCCCCAATTAAATGCTTTCTCTTATAAGAGTTGCCTAGGTCGTGGTGTCTCTTCACAGCAATAGAATACTTACTTAGATAGAAGTTGGTATCAGGGAGTAGCATATTGCTGTGACAGGCCTGAATATGCTGAATATGGAAAAGTTTGGGACATTGAACTAGAACAGCAGTTGGATTCTTTAAGCAGGCCTTAATGGGCTACATTCATAGGAGCATGGAAGACAGTGCTGAAGGTGTCTTGAACTGTGGGGTCCCAGCTCAAGAACTTTCAGAGGACAAGGTTGGTAGCAAGTGGTTTAGAGGCTTTTCCTGTGAACTATCTCTTCAGGCATGAATCTTCTTATTCCTAATAAAGATACAGTAGAACAGTTTAAGAGAAATATTTTTGTTTCTTAAGAATCTATATACCTGTTGTGAACAGCCACTGAAGCCCAGTGGAAAATCTGCAGTAACTGGTCCTCATTTGAGCCTTCAGTGGGAGTTGGAGGCTATTTGTAGGATAGAGAGAAGTCCATCAGCTCTTTACCAAGCATGGAGTGCAGAAGGGAGACTGAAGTCCTTGGGGGCTGCCTAGAGGTGAGGCGTACTTTCTAGCATTGGGCAAACATATGCCATTAATTAACTGAGAAATATAATTATATCTAGGAATGGACATAGCTGGGGACTTGCAATGGAAAGAGACTTATTTCTGCTTATGTATCTTTTCCCCACTCTCCTGATGGGGCATTTTAATATATGTTTTATTCTTTGGCAGTTTCATTTGTTTGTGCAGTGGATTTCAGTCATTTCAGCCCCTCCCCCCATCACCATCTGTCTTCCCAGACTCCTTCTGAGCTGAAATCCTTCCCAGCAAGTCCCCCTCCTACTTTGATGTCTTCTCTGTGTGTTGCCCACTGAGCTTGTTAAGAGTTTCTTGTGTGGACATGGGTAGAAAGTTATTTCCTGGAGCACAGACGACTTACCAGTGGCTACGCACCACAGAAGGTGACAGCCCTTCCCCCAACACTACTAATTGTTTGTAATTTTTCAGGAAGGGGTGGGCTCTCATGTGCCCTTCCTCATTTCATGATAAAATAATGATGGGCTCAATCTTGTACAAGTAACTACAGATCTAGTGAGTGCTTCTGAGTGTAATGGCCATGTCGTTACCAGATGTCTTTTTTGCAACACTTTCCCTTCCTCCATCTCTTCTGGTCTTTCCTTCCTCTCTCCCATAATTCTCTAGACTTTGGAAAGGCTAATTAATATCAGTGACCCACTTAGGGCCAAGTACTAGATCATGCTGTCTTGGTGATTCTGCCACTTACGAGTCTCTGTATTAATCACAGCCTGCTACAATGACAAACTTCTCTGACAAAGGCTAAGAACCTAACTTGATTTTCTGCCTTTAGAGGATAAGTATAGGAAGCTGGGAGATGATGCTGAGTTGGGAAGAAACAGACCTCTGGATTCTTTGCCATGCCATATTACTGTTTTCTTTAGAGTGGTGCAGCCTTGGTTTAACCCAGAGTGAGTTTAAAACCTCAATGGCCATTTGAACTCTGTAAATTCAATTTCATTAAGAACGAAGATAAGAATGTAGTAGTCTTTATCTCTCCCTGTTATCTATGGAAATGCAATACATCTCCCAAAGCATTTCAGCTCAGTATGTTTCAGTGGCAATAATTGTCTCTGTTTATATATCAAGTTTAGTTTGCCTTAAGAACTGGCACAAGTACCTTTTGTGTTTAATCTCTCTTTAAACAATAAAGTTTCATATAACCAGTGGAATTAGGTTAAGCAGGTGCAAATCTTTTTTTTAACATGTTAAAGTTAACATTTCATTTGAAGGATCATTAGACTACAATTCCTAACACTACTAATAATATAAGCCACTTTAGGAGTGATTCCTAGACATAATTCTGTCCTGGGGGCGGGGAGCATAGGTACATGGGACTGGGTTCTATCCTAATGATTTCACTAGCCAATCACTTGGCATATGCCTTGTATTATTTTCTATTGGAGAAGGTCTTGTATTGGAGCTTTATTAATTAGGATTGTTTACTCCTTAGGACTTTTTTTTAGCGTAGAGTTTTTCTATGTTAAGTGGTATCTTCCAGGTAGCAGGCTCCCTGCACACAGAGCATTGGCTTTTATGAGTGGCTTTACATGTAGCTCCTTCGTGGTTATAACTTTCTGTTGCTGAGATTTTTGTCAGGAAGAATTTGAAACTTTGAACATGCTATCTGAATCATAATTGCTAAGACCTGCAGACTAGCAAAGACTATTGTACATTCTCTTCCTTGTTTAGTTCTTTGTAAGACGCATAAACAATTGTGTGAAAACTCACTTCTACATTTTGATATGTTCCTGAGTTCCAAATTGCTACCGATTCCTCTCCTATAACCACTCCTCCCCTGACAGTAAGACAAATAAGCAGATACGGAGTTGACTTCTACTTTCTCAGTGACCTAAAGAACAAAACACTTGTTTAAAGCACTCAGAGAAATGCCAACCCTATACATATTTTAACAACTTAGCAGAAGCAAGCAATATGACTGACATACAATCTGATTTTTATTGTGTTGGGAAAAATGTATTTGATCATTGTAAATCTGGAGATTATCCTTTTGTGGATGTCGCTGTCATTTCACAATGACTGAAGTAATTGTGCTGTCGAAGCTGTTGCATGTTTAGACAGAACTTCATCAAGTCTGTGCTCTCCTGTATCCTGAGCCTGCTTGCTGGATAGTAGGAAGGGTAGTAAATGCAGAAGGGGGAACTTTTTTGGTTGTGTTCTAACTATACACATGTTTCCAGAACAAACTTTGAACAAACCATGAAGTTAAAGACAGTAGGGACTTGATTTCCCTGCAGAGGTTCTGATGGTTCTCAGCCTCTCTGTCTTGAAGGCTTAGCAGCTTTCTCGGTTGTCTCAGTGCCAGGAAACACTCACCCTCTCTCAGGACTGTGGTAACTAGAAACACTGTTACTTGACCTTTTCAGGAAAAGTCAACCCAGTATTTTATTACCCAAGGTAAACTGGAGGAGAGGTACCAAAGAAAGGAGGCAGGCAAATGCTTGCTCTGGATTGCCTGAAGTTCTGTTAGCACTCTGATGAATCAATGGCAATTGCATAGATAAGATTCTCTGTTTGGGGCAGAGTTTATGTGGTAGCTATAAGCTTGCACATTTTTAAGGGAAACATAACAGTCACAATATGTCATCATTTAAAAGCATTCTGCTCAAAACAGCTGACCTGAACAAGGGGGAGCTCATGCACCCCAGACTGATAGCTGGGAAACCAGCATAGGACTGATCCAGATCCCCTGAACGTGGGTGTCAGTTAGGAGGTCTGGGAAATCTATGGGGCCTCTGGTAGTGGATCAGTATTTATCCCTAGTATATGAATGGACTTTGGGAGTCCATTCTGCATAGATGGTTACTCTCTGAGCCTAGACACATGGAGGAGGGCTAAGCCCTGCTCCAAAGGCTATGACAGATTTTGAAGGTCCCCCCATAGAAGACTTCACCCTCCCTGGGGAACAGACAGGGGATTGGATGGGTAGGAGGCAGGGGAGGAGGGGAAGAAGAGGGAACTGGGATTGACATGTAAAAGAAGTTTGTTTCTAATTTAAATTAAAAATCACAAAACAAAACATTCTGCTCTTGATGGATCTTCACTTTGGCTCTGGTGTGAGACCAATGTGAAGAATGCTATTATGGAAATACATGTATTTGCAAAGTTCAACTTTAGGTATTGAGTATTCTTTCAAAATGGCTGTGCCTATTTGTACTTCTATCAACAGCATTTGGGAATTCCAATTGTCCCACATATTTGCAGTCTTTTTTTCTATCTGTTCTGGTGAGTTGGGAGTTTAAGGGGAATGCATGTTGTTTATGTTTTGTTTTGTTTCCAACTCATGCAGTATTTCTTACATCTCATCCTTTCTGAAGATGTGACTGCACTTGAACTAAGGAATAACTTATTTACAAAGTATATAAATATTTTTAATGCATGATAAGTAGTAGATATTAGAAGATGGCTAAGATCTTTGCATCAGTTTAGACTTAATCTATGATTCATTTGAAACCAATCATTTTCAGATACGTTAGACCTCCTCATTTGTTCCGTTTTACAGATGAAGTGACTGAGCCACTCACTTCAAAGACTTAGGGTCATGCCAGGTGTTTTGACATGGCCTCTTAGAAGAGCCAGTATGATAATATTGCTCTGTCCACTTGTGTGAGGCCTCTGTTACTTCTATTATTCTTTTATTCATTAATTATTGAGTGCATATTGTATGACAGGTATTGGGCAGAGTCTCTGGAATTTAGACAGATTTATAGTCTAACTATGTCACTGTCATATTACAGGTTATGGCTTTCTCATCACTGCCTATTTCGTCAAGAGGGGGATACACCTTCGCTGTATTCAGAACTCACAGAATACTGGTAAGAATCTGGTATCTTGGATCAGGCATTTACACAATCAATTTGTCCAAGAGAGGATTGAAAGTTAGAAAATAAACATTACTGTTTGCTGCTGTGACTACATCATTTAGTATTTCAAGACATATATAACCCTCATATTCCATTCATAGTGCTTACTGCCCCTGGGAACAGAGTGGACTATGGTGCACTTTAATTTCCTGGTGCATCGCAGCATTTGCATTGGGTTTCAAAGGTGACTCAATGAATGTGTGAGCATTGGATAATTCTGTCAGGGTAAGTGCACCCCATGACCTTTGGGAAGGGGCAAATGAATTACGAGAAAGCACTTTCCCAGTCCAGAGCCAGCAAATCTTCCTTAAGTATTTAATGAGGTCGGCTCACAGCCCTCACTTCTGCAAGTCATGATACAAAAAAATGATATGATGTCCAATCAACCACAGTAAAGTTAGGAGATAATGTCCATGCCCTCTGTGTAGATCTTAACATTAGAAAGTTTAGCTTACTATTTTGGACAATGTCCTGATGAATATAAGATAGGAAACGGGAACTGAGGAATTGCCTTCATGGAGGTTTGCTCATAGAATATTTGTGATTGTCTGTACCTTCTTGACTCTTAAATGCTGCTCAAATATGCCTTTCTTTTTAAAAAAATGTATTGGTCTGCCTGCATGCATGTATATGTGTGTCCCACGTGTGTGCTAGGTATCCTTGGAGGCTAGAAGTGGGTGTTGAATCTCCTGGAATTGGAGTTAGAGATGGTTGTGAGCCACCTTGGTGGGTAATAAGACTCAAACCCAGGTCCTCTGGAAGAGTAGCGAGTGCTTTTAACCACAGAGCCATCTTTCTAGCTCCTATATAAGCATCTTAATGAAGTCGTCTGCTTTGGTTACCTTACTCAAAAAGTTTACCTTTTACCTCTTACAATGCAATCTAGCTATTCATTCTGGTAGGAACTGGTGTTTAAATACTTACTTAAGTATTAAAGTAACACAAATCAATTGTATGCATATTCAAGTAAAGTGATACAAAAGAAACTTTTGAATTGATTTGACTATCATAATCTATTCATATCATATTCAAAAGTATTCATAATCTATCACTCTTATTTTTGAGATGAAAAATAGAAATATAAAATAGATGGAGTGATAATTTGAATTTTAATTCTCATTTCCTAAATAGCATATTATACTTTAATTTTCTGATTTATTTGTAGGGGAGAGAAAGGAGAAATAATGAATTCTATGGCTTGTTTTCCCTCTATAAATTGGGTCAGAGGCTGCTTACCACTTAACCCCAATCCCAATAATTTATTTCAAGAATTAATACAAAATATTAACTGTTTCTATAATTTTGTTCTAAGAGCTTTCCAAAAACCAACTGAGGTCCCCATTCAGATATAACTTTTGTGTGTGGTTGAAATTTAGACATACCTCTGACCCCACCTACAACAAAGCCTTCCTATGGGAGGCCTGGTTGACTGCAACCAGAACAGCAGGTTGGGATGAAGTCAGGGAAAGTCTGAATGCTTGGCACATCCTTGTTAGGTAACAGGAGCCAAGTGAGCCGGAACGGAAATGGAGCTTTTGCTTAGAATGTCTGACCTGTTGTGATGAGGTACATGCTTTAGAACAGTAGTGACCAAAGAAGCAGCAGTGGCCCAGGGGCAGGGGGGCAGGAGGGGACCACTCCAGGAGTGTCACCTCTTTAGGTGTTTTGGTACTCTCTGACCTAGCCAAGTGGTATAAGGTGTTATTTCATATTATGTGCTTATATAATTAACACCTTTGTGGTTAACAGTTGAACCAAACGGAAGTGTATTACTATCTCATTCAGAACCTCACATGCAGAATATTGAAACGGTTTACTTACCTGACTCATAACTTAAGCCAATTCATAACACTGTCTTAAAAACATTCATGTCTAAGAAGGAATCATTCCAATTTAGAGAAATGACTGTTTTGTAGCAATTAGTATATGTATATGTTACAGAAAAGATTTGGGCAATGCAGCAAGTACCAAGAATTAAGACTGCTACCCATTCAGTCTAGACAGGTCCTGTTCATATCTGTTACACATCACTGCAGACATGGTCCCACAGCTGGGTAGTATTTGATGGGTGTATAGATGGCCAGATAAGTCAGATGAAAGAAGAGATGATGCAGATGGCATTACCAGTGCTGGGCTCCAATCACTGATCAAAGGGGTTGTGTTCTGGGGTCCATTCAACCTTTTCCACTTGGAAGTAAGTGACTTTGCCATCACACTCTGTAGAGGTGGATTGCTGTGACCGAGACCTAATGCGACCTCTACTGTTGATACTTAACCATTCCCTTAATAGACTAGCCATATATTCCTAAGAGCAATGGTTGTTTTCATATTCTTATTCAGCTTAGAAGCTTGCTGTCTAGTGCAGAATTCTCCATCTAGTTCTCTTCAAGAGCAACTGACTAGGAAGACTACAAAAGAAACTACCTAGGAAAACTATAAAAGGCTTGTGTCTCACATTCTTCCTCTTTCTCTTTAAGTCTGTGTGCTGATTAGAAAGTAGTTGATACTTCTTCCCAAACAGGAGTTCAGCATACTAAGACAGAGCAGTTATAATGGCCTGCCTGGAGGGTCCGTCTGCTCTGCTAGTTCAGTGGCTGAGGTAGACCAGTTTGCAATCCCTTGGCTCTTCCTCAAACTCACTCTGCCCAAGTGGTGGAAACCCTGTAGAGAGAAGGGAGAAGAGACCTCAACCACATATATGTGCATATTGCCATAACAAAACATTACCAAAGAACCTGGGAACAAGAATTTCTATTTGCATGGTATTCATGCATTTATTAACTCAGTCTTCTTTGTTTTGTACAGAACTTCGTATATTTCCTGACAGATTTGTGGTCTGTGTTAGTCAGCTTCCATTTGGTCCTGATACTTGGACAAGCCAGAATGAAAAGTCGGTATGTATGAAAAACAAATTCTGTGATAGATTCTTCTTAGTACTGAGTGATTGTGGCGGCGGGGGTGGTGTATATGTTGTTGGTGTTGTGTGCGGTGGTGGTAGTGGTAATGTGTGTGGTTGTGGTGTGTGTGTGGCAGTCATGGTGATGTGTGTATGGTGATAGTGTGTGTGGTAGTGTGGGAAGTGCCTTCTATTATCAGCTGTTCTGTGTGTTTTAAGAGGTTCTAGATGCCTTACCTCCTGTTTTGCATGATAACACTGATCAGCTAATGAGCTGATTCATGTTTTGAGTTTTTGTTTCTTTCCTCTCCAATACTATGAATATTTAGTTTGATAAGCAGCATCTTACCACTTTCAACTTTGGAGGAGGCATCAGCACATCAGGAAAACCTTGATGGTGTCTGTGATGGTATGTAAGTGAAAAGCAATGAAAATCTAAGCTTCCACTAGAAGTTTCCACTGGGGTCAGTGGCTTCTGAATTGTACTTCGTGGTGAATCACTGACGTTTTTCATGAGAACTAGTGCTACTCCCTAGTGTATTATTTCATAGCTAATAGAGTTCATTTTCTCTTGCTCTCTTTTCTCTTGCTAAGGTTGAGCTCTGTCAGGGTCTCGTTCAGTTTCACTGGAGTTCTCTACTCAGACAAATAAATGTAGAAAACATCCTGTCTTTTAATCTTACCATGTGCTCTTGACAGTGTCATTGTGTGTATGTGTATCTTGCTGCAGTCATAGGTCGGTGGTCTATTTAAATTGCCCTTAAAAAATAGAAAATAAAAAAACCTTTAGGTCTATGGCTTGAACCTTCAATGAACAGGAAAATAAATAGAGAAGACATTAACCCAGCCTGAAAGTATGACATGATTATTGTGCTTCTAAAATAATTTATGGGGATATTAGATTATCCCTGTTGTTTATTATTTTTTAACCCATATGAAATTTGAAGTTTGGCCCACATGGTATGAAAGCAGCTTCTTATCTCATCTTAAGTAAATACATAAGTGTTTCATAGGCTCTGTGAGACAAAGAGACCCAGGAGAAGCAAAGAGCTTGAAACTGGTACTTGTGTTTGGTTCCTTTGTTTTGAGCAAAGGACCCTTTCAAAAAAGGCCAGTATAGCCCTTTTATTTCCTCTTCCTCCATCAAAAACACTCTACATATATACATAAAATAAGATCAGTGAAGCAAATTTGGCCAAAGGCCTTAAAAGTTTAATTTTTGAAGTATTTCCAGGACATTGCATTATCTCAGTAAATTAATAAATGCTAAAGTAATTCTATTGGCCTATATTTTAATAAATATTGCTTAACTGATTTTTCCAAGCAAGAAAGAATTGATCTATGGCTTAAAAAAAACAACAACTATTAACTCTACCAGAATGTTATTGCTTGCAGATGGGATACAGGAGAAATCAGATCTTATATCTGATGTGTAATGTTAATACTTAATATCTTAAATTGTTAAGGAGGAATTAAAGCATCTGAATACAAATGAAACATAATCCCCTTGGGGGCTCTAGTATTTATACAGATGTAAGTTTTTTGTAGCTGCTGTTACATAAATCCTGCGATTGGAGAGTTTCCTGATTGCTGAAAACTTTCATTGTGAACCAGTCTTTAGTTTCATTAACCAGTCTGAACATTTTACATAGGAGTTCCATTGCCTCATCTTTAACATTTTTGGATCTTTAGTGAGTACTACCAAAGTTGACCATTTTATTTCAGAAGCACAAAGGCATCTGTGTCACACAGTTCTTTCATTACTTTTGGTGGCTCTTGTTAGTTTTGTGTCATTTCCCTCACATACACACTTTCATAGCAACACAGGCAAGAGTCAGGGAAACAGTCGGTACTACCAAACAGCTCCATTGCCACATATATTCCAGACTCAGCTGAACCCCTCACCTGTTCAGGGCCTTCAGCCCACCACTTTCTCAGGTATGCCATCAGTAGAAGCTGTGAAATATCCAGGCCCCCCTGCAAATCCCTCATAAGCCAGTCATACTGTCTTCCCTCCACTGTTACCTGACCTCTTGAGAGTCCACCTGTCTTAGCTATTTAGGGATCAATAAACAACCCTTCCCTGCCTGATACCTCCTGCCAGAGAGAGAGAGAAGAAATTCATTCTTATGATGAACTCCAAACACCCAAATCTAGTGGTGTCAGTTCCCCTCCCTCGCCCAAGAATTTGAATTTCCTTTTGTTTTATGTTGATATTCACAAAAGGGCAGGATCCATCTCATTCTATCCTGGTAGTCCTTCTCAAGGAACTTCTGATTAGGCAAGGCCTGGGAAGTTGGCTCTCCATGTAGCTATACTGGCAATAAGCTACAGTTATTTTCTTATAATTGTCTATAGCTCGCTGTTTTACATCCACAGGATTGATGGGAAGTGGTCTTGTTCCTGATAGCAGCCTCAACCTCTCACTGGGGCTGTCCCCCTTAGGGAGTCTTCCTTTAGTTTCCTATGCTCTCTGTCTTAAGTGAGAATCAGTTAGGAAATCTGGGAGCATCTCCTGAAAACTACTTTGCCTAGGGAGTCTTTCAGCCTTCAGACTAGGAAGCCAGCAGTATTTACCATGCCGACTCTTCAAGATAGCTGCACCGAAGAACATGTCCCAGATCAGGCAGCACAAGAGAGACAGTAGAGGAAGGTCCTCCGTGTTGCAATAGCCCTGCAGTGTTCATATGTTTGGGATGTGGGAACTGAGCTGTGTACTTTGGGAAGCAAGGGCATTATTATGAAATGAGTCACTGTATTTTTCTTACTAGAGTTTCTCATAAGAAATCTCAAAACTCTTGTAGCCTCAGATTTGACCTACTGCTGGATGTGGAGCCAGGCAGTTTTTACCTTTGCCTGTTCTGTGCACTTTTTCCTTAGCAATAAAGAACATCAAGTCAGATTTTACTGGGCTTGGTTCTATTCCACAGTATTGACTTGCCTCCTTTTTTATTTTTCTTTCTTCCCCTCTGTCCCAGACTTAACTCTCCTGTGTAGAGGCTGTTCTTTTTCAGATGTAAAGCCCTGGAGGTTTGGAGAAATCTGAAGTTCCTTGCTAGTTTCTGTGATTTCTTTATTGAAGTTATGTAAATAGCCATGGACCTTTGTATATATCTGGGACATTTCAGGGTCATTGCAAAGCTACTGTTTGATTGTGTGTTAGTTACAAGCCACTCCTAGTCTCTGGAGACCATGGTTCCCATCTGCGCTGACCATTACATGGAACAGGATGTTCTGGGTGCTGGCTCTATACCAGGGTCTCTACTGGGCTTCAATGACACAAAAATAAGAAAATGCCATTGCCTTCTAATGGCTTATAGTCTGGGAGATTGACACTATTGCTGAATATCCTGGTCACCTAGAATCAGTTATACACTTTCTACCATTCCAAAAGAAAGCCCAGAATGTTAGGCCTCCATTCTTTTTTTAAAAGCTGTACTGTGTTAAAGTTTGAGATCCTTTTGGAAATTAGAAAGTGATGCATAGTGTTAGTGCTGTGCAAAAGCAGATGTGTGCATTAAGGTTTTGGGGTTTTCCATCTTGTCCTTCATCTCAGTTGGAATTTCTGTCAAGGAAAAAAAAGAAGATGAAAATGAACTAAATAAAAATTTTAATATGATTTTCACACAAGATAGATTTTTTAATGCAACAGTAATCTTACACAGTCGAGTAATGTTTTATTTTAGGAAAGATAAACAAAAGTTTTAAAAAATTTAGGCCTTGTGTTATGTTTTGGGGTTTTTTGTTTTGTTTTGTTTTTTTGGTGGGGAGGGGGTTGAGACAGGATTTCTCTGTAGCTTTGGAGCCTATCCTGTCAATCACTCTATAGACCAGGCTGGCCTCAAACTCACATAGATCCACCTGCCTCTGCCTCCCAAGTGCTGGGATTTAAAGGTGTGTGCCACTACCTCCCAGCTTGGCCTTATGTTTTTAAAACAAAAGAAATATAATGTTTTTTAAAAGGAACAAAAGAAATGTACTACTTAAAAATTTGAGTGTACTAACTAACTTCTATGCTCGGATGAGAGAGGATAAGTAGTCCATGACTTTTACAAGTTTTGGATGAAGTATCATAGTCTTTAAAAGGCCATTCTTGTCTCTGATTACACTTCTGATTCATGGTGAATTACATAGAACTCTTAGGATGTTCCCCAACACCTGTGAAAGGCCCCTAAGTTTGAAGGAAAGGCTATTTTACTAGTTCCCATTTTCTAATATTCCACACTTGGGTCTTCCTTAGCAAATAGTTACCAAAATCCTATATGTTCATTGCACCAAAAGACTTAAGCACAAATTTGCTCAAGGAAAGGGAAAACTACTTCTGACTCTCAGCCCATGAACCTCTGTTACCAACCTGATCTTTGTTTCTTCAGGCTTAATAACTAAGGTCAGTGCATATTTATTTTAGCTAGGACCCTATTCGTTTTTAAGTTAGTTCATTTCCACTTTTCTATTGATGTTCTACTGGCGATGTGTTTCTACTTACTATGTAAAATATACTTATTGAGTAAGGAGAGTAATTTTAAGTGAGCTTATCATTTGTCTTTCAATTATACATCATTGGTGTATGGCAGGAGGAATCTGTGTCTTTTCTGTAAAGATTTCTACCATGGAAAGTCTTGATGTTGTATATTTAAGTATTTTTCTATAATTCATGAGTTTGAGATGTGGAGTCCTTTTTATTCTATACATCGAACAACTTCATGCTAATCTTGGTATGTGGGTTTTAAGGGAGAGCAGCATTCTCTTACTTCCATTGATGGGCTTCACCAGCTAGGTCTCATGACAACCACTTCTAGGGTCTAGATTTCCCTGTTGCCCTCTAGAATGCAATATTCACTGATGTCACTAAGACATTGGTATTCTCCAATGAAAACAGCTGTCAGCTGCACAGAACAGGTCCTCACTGGAGCATTGGCTTGGTAGAAGGAATGCTCAAACATCCTGACAAAGGACAAGAAGTAAGCACTGAATTGAGTGTATCTCTTAAGTCAGACT